CAAGTCCAGGTTAGTCACAGCCCAAGTGAGACCTGGTTTAAAACAAAACAAACAAACAATAAACCACCAAAACTGTTGAAGAAATTTGATATCCACACACAGTTGGGAGAACCTCAAAAACACTGTGGTAGCTGGGTGGATGATGTGCCTGTAATCCTAGCATTCAAGATTCTGGGACTGGAGGAATTAAATTTGAGGCCAGTCTAGGCATTTATCTTGACCCTGTCTCAAAAAAATGCAGACAAGGGCTAAGGAGACGGTTTGTGCAGTGAAATGCTTGTCTTATAAGCATGAAGATCTAAGTTCACGTCTCCAGAACCCACACAAAAAGAATCCAGAAGTACTGGCATGAACTTGTAACCCCAGCACTGGGGAGTGGGGTCCTGGAGGCTCCCTGGCAGGCCAGACTAGTTTACTTGCTGAGTCCCAGGTCAATGAGAGACTCTATCCAAACAAACAAAAACAGGAGGAGCCATGTCTGAGGTTGTCCTCTGGCTCCACATGCAGGTACACACCTGTACATGTGAGCAACACACACACACACACACACACACACCAGTATTCTAAGTGTAAGAATCCAGTAACTACCACATATTGTATGATTCTTTTATATAAAATGTCCAAAATAGCAACTCTGAGATAGAAAGTAGATGAGAGGTTATCAGGAACTGGGGGATGATGGAATAGGGAGCCACCGCTGTGGCAAAAATGTAATGTAATGGACTTTGTACACACACATGAGCAAACTTATATATATATATATACATATATATATGTATATATATATATGAAAATACATACATGTACACACAAAAGCACACACAGCACAGATAACACACATGCATGCATATATATACACATGTAACATGCATAGCACAGACAACAGAGACATATACACACACACACAGCATATATGTATGCATATGTACACACACTCAAGCTTCCAGAGCACAGACCACACATGGTGACAGTGGTTACGTGTAGTCATGAAGTGTGCTGGTTTTTATCTTTGCCACTCACTTTTCTGTAGAAAAGTCTATAGAACACTCTACCAGAAGCCTGCATCATGTGTGCAGTTAGGAATTAAGCAATGAGAACAGTTTTTGCAGTCTGCTTACAGGTCAACTGCAGTGAGCAGGTCCAAGGCTCTAAGGAGCAGAGACTAGGAGAGCTCTGACAATGTGGCCACTCTTCCTTCCTCTCCAGGGAGCCCATCTCCTGTGGGAATGACACTTACTCTTTTGCAGAACGGCATTTAAAACATACTCAAGCTCCTCGGCTGTTACCTCCATGTCCTGTGGAGTAGAGACAACTGTTCTTTATGGTCCTTAGCAATTGTAAGCTTGACTTGGCTCTTTGGAGAGATTGGCCCTGAGGACACTGTGCTGGGAGCTGAGTTCACCTCCATGGTAGCTGCAACCCACTGGTTTCTCAGGGAAGGAGAGACAGCAGCCTGGAAAAACTCTAGAAGGGTGAGGCATGCTGCCCAGTCCCCTGAGGATGCAAGATTCTCTGAGAAGGCTTCAAAAGGCTGCCAGAAACTTTAAAGGGTCAGAAGACGTTTGAAGATCTAGCAGGTCCTTGTTCCTTCTCACAGGAGTACCCAGAGAACCAGAAACACTCCATGTATTGGGGTCTCACCTGCTATTCAAGACAGAAGACCTAGGACTCAGTTCACTGGTTAATATAAAACTTCTAGGGATGAATCCTGGAATCCTCAGTGTAAGAAACTCACTAGCCCTAGTGTCCACAAAGCAAAAGCTGTGAGAGAGACACTGAGGTATTGCCAGAGCCATGGAAGGGAGTCTGCAGTTCTAGGATGCCCAGGCACTTTAAAGAAAATTTTATTGTAGCTTTTGTGTTTGTGTATGTGTGTGTGCTATGGGTGAACATGTATGTGTGTTGAGGTCAGAGGACAACTTTGTGGGGCTGGTTTTCTCCTGCCACTTTTACCTCAGTTCTGGGGATCAAAATCAGGCCACCAGGCTTACATGGCAAGTGCTTATACTTGCTGAACCATCTTGTCAGATCTTGTTTAGTTTTTTTTGAGACAAGGTCTCACTCTGTAGCCCAGGCTAGCCTGAAAATCATTCTGCCTCAGCTTCCCAGGTGCTTGCATGACAGGCACCAGTCACCACATTTGGCTAACTATGTGGTTTTTATGCACATGGAGATCTGGCTAGCTCCTCAATATGCTTGAGTGTTGAACATAGTCACTGTTGACATTATTTTAATATATGCCAGTTGGCTCTTCGACTGAAGCTCCCTGGCCTTTGGGATGCTCAGCTCTCATAAGAAAGTAAATTGCAGTACATGGCTACCCAAGCCAGGGGAGCCACCTAGTTGGATGGAGAGCAGGACAGGGCCTGAGCAGGTAGAATTTCACTCTCAAGGGGGTTGTTATTTGATGCTGCTAATGAAGGTTGAGTGAATGTTCCTGCATTGGTTCCCCACTTCCTTCCAAATGCTGTTCTTCTCCCTCAGTGACTTCTGTCCCTGCCTCATGCATCTGCTCAAGGGCTTGCAGCTCTCATGATGTGGACCAGCCTATCACCTCTGGGATCCTTGGGACATCATTTGACTCTGGAGCTTTACCCCCCTCACCCTCTATCATTCTTTTCCCAGATCTGGACATATGGCTTCATTTCTCTACCAGAGACCACTGCTGCACTTGTTTAAGTATCTGCAAAACAACCAGCCAATAGTGTTCTCCAACTGTGAGAGCACTCCTCCAGACTGCCCCTTTCGATCCAGGAGCCCCAGGCAGGAGAAGGGAGCAAGGTAATACAGTCAGTAGTGTCTGACATGAGCTAATTCACCAGGCTCCTTCCATTATAATCTCCAACGAGGCAGGAACCAGCAGTGGTGTGGGGCCCAGAGCTACATGAGGTTTCATCTCGTCCCCCATAATTGCCAGGGCTCCCCAGAAGGAAACTGAGCAGAGATGGGAATGAGGTGGAAGACCAAGGATCCTAGCCCTAACCCTGTCCCTAACCTATCACTGGTCAACAGAGGTGCATTGAGTTGACACTGTCAACAAGGTGGGACTCAGGCCCCCAGGAACCAGAGCTGGCTTTAATTTGCAACAAGCCCAGAAGGGCTTGGGGAAGTGCTGTTGACAAGTCCATGGTCACAGTCCTCTGCTGGGAACCCAGAGCAGGCCCTTAGCCAAGGTCAGGGTGGAGATAAGGGGGGTAGCTGTATCCTACCTCACCAGCGATTCTCTGGAACAGGGCCCGGAACTGTCTCTCCTCCTCAGTTTCCTCCTCCTGTGGAGTTGGCTTTGGGGGCTGAAAGAACCAAACGAGGTTGTGTAAAGGGCAGAGCAGGGCTCACAGAAGAGAAACCTGACGTGCTTTCTCATACAAATAGCAGAAAAGAAGAGCCCCACACTGGACAGACACTACACTGTTCCTGAAGGAAAAGCCAGTAGAGCTCTTCCCTAGCAGGTGGGAGGCCTTGGGTTCAATCCCCACCCAACAAAAGAAAAGAATGGGAAGCACACAGCACAGAACACAGCTGTCAGCATCAAGCCACTCCACAGAGTTTCATGTGGGAGTTAGAGCAGGGTGCCTTCCCAGCCACAAGGCCAGAGCCGTCATGTCGGGTTCATCCTACATGGCCTGATTTCTCAAAGCTAGATGAACAACTTGGTTTCATCTCAGGAACATGAAGTTCAGCTTGAGTGACCCCGTTTCAGTTGGCCAGAGTAAGAGCTCTGTCTGTACTCACAGAGAGATCCCTACATTTCACTTAACAGGAACAAGAAGGCTAAGGGTGTCTGGGCCTGACTGGCAGCTTGGCACAGGGCTGCCATGCTCCAGCCTTATCTCCTGATCCATTATCTCTCTTGATAGTCACCTTCCAAGAGTGTCACCAGCACCCAGAGCAGGCGGGCAGATGGCTCAGTACAATTTAAGCGTTTTGTTTTTCTGCAGATTTTGGTCGATTTATAAACTGCAGGCCTAGGGAGGCGGCACGGAGCATCAGGCGTTCCCCCAAAGCAGGTTTTGGTTGCCGGAGGACATTCCCGACTATTTCAGAAGAACTTGGTGAGTCTTCCCCCACCAATCATATAGCCAATATTTATTATACAGCTTTGGATTTCACAATGACATTTTGATTCAAGCATATTATGTAGTTTGACCTTTCTAATTCCTTCATTAGTCTTCCCTGCCCTCCCTGCTAGAGCCCTTCCTCTTTCTGGTTAGATCCTTCTACCTTTATGACACATAGATATATGCACATGTATAGATACATCTTAAGCAATCTTAATGATCTCGAAGCCCCCCACAGCGAGTCCTGTGTTCTTCAAATCAACCAGCCTCATTTTTTCTTTTCTTCTCTCCCTTTTCTCTCCCTCCCTTCTTCTCCTTCTCTTCCTTCCCTCTCTCCTTCTTTCTTTCTTTCCTCTACTTCTCTTCCTTCCTTCCCTCCCTCCTTCCATCTTTTCTCCCCTCTCCTCCTCTCTCCTTCCCTCATCTCCTTCCTTTAGTTTTCTTTTTTATGTGTTTATTTTAAGATGGGGCCTTATATATCCCAGGAAGGTCTTAGGTTTACCCGGTAGGCAAGACTGGCCTTGAATTCCTGACCCTCCTGCCCCCAACCCCCAAAGTGCAGGAATCATAAGTGTGTTCCACCTCAGATATCTTCTTAAATAAATTGGAAATCATTTCACTTCCTTCACAATTAGTAGAGGCCTCTCGGGAGAAGAGGAAGCCCAAAGAAAGACAGCACCTGAGAGAACTTTATCTCAAGTACCCCAAGGCTCCGCCTAGTCCCCTGGGTGATGAGGGATGGGAAACAAAAGCCCTGGCCTCTGGGTTAGAAACAGCTAGGTTGCTTACCTCACCACAAGCAACCAGCTCCCGAATTTGATTTTTGAGAGGAACTGTGGTTTGAAAGAAGAGTTCTAGTTTTTTTTTTTTCTTTTTTTTTTTTTCTTAGCTCCCCTGAGCCGTGCTGTGCTCCTCTAACTGTGCTCCCTGACTCCGGAGTCGGGGCTATTTCTGGTGTTGGCGCTGCTCCAAGAAGGCCATCACAGCCAGTGCCCCCTACTGTCCCGTAGAGAAGGAAGATGAGCGAGTCCAGTTCAAAGTCCAGCCAGCCTCTGGCCTCCAAGCAGGAGAAGGACGGGACTGAGAAGCGAGGCCGGGGTAGGCCGCGCAAGCAGCCTCCGAAGGAGCCCAGTGAAGTACCAACACCAAAGAGACCTCGGGGCCGACCAAAGGGAAGCAAAAATAAAGGTGCTGCCAAGACACAGAAAGCTACCAGAGCTCCAGGGAGGAAACCAAGGGGCAGACCCAAGAAACTGGAGAAGGAGGAAGAGAAGGGTATCTCCCAGGAGTCCTCGGAGGAGAAGCAGTGACCATGCACAGTGCCGCCTGCTCTTTGGCCATCGAAGGAGCAGCTTTCCCTTGGGACTGGAAGCCCTGCTTCCAGGCCCCTCCCCACCCCCACTGCACACTACCGCACCAGCTGCAGGCTCTGGGGGCACCGACCTGAGCAGGATTTGGCTCAGCCCATGTGCTCTCCCAAACACACCTGCCCCCTCCCGACAAGGCTAACTTCCCATTTAGCCGCAGCCTGTGGTGCTGCGCACCTCTCTTAGAGAGAGTGGTCTCTGGGCTCTTTGTTTTGCAGGCCCTTTCTGCTCTGCTCTTCCCGGCTTCCTTGTAGAGGGAGGGTCCTGGGAGCATTCCCTGGCTTTAAAGGGCCGCAGCCCCATCTGACAAGTCCCATTGACTGGCCTAGCATCAGGTGTGGTCAGTACTGGGATGCTTAGATCCCAACATGCCCTCCCCTACCAAACTGTCACCAGGTGGGTTTCTCAGCCACTTCTGCCCCACCTTACCTAGGCCCTGACTAGGTTGGCTAGAGCCCCTTGGGCTACAGGAAGTAGGACATGATGACCCCGCCCACCATGTTCTCACCTGGGACCCAATGCAACAACAGATGGGAGTCACCGCCCATCTCCAGGGTGATGTCCCCCTGAGGCAGTTGGGGCGCTAACTCACCCTCCCCGACTCTAGGCTGTTTCCCTTCCTCCAGAGCGGCACTAAGGAGCTAACCTTGCCCACCTCCTTTTGCTCCTCCCTGCCCCCCTGCCCCTCCCCGCCCAGGTTCTGATTCATCTTTTCCTCTGTTCACAAATTACCTCTGGACAGTTGTGTTGGTTTTTTTGTTCAGTGTTCATTCTTAGACACCCACCATTGCTGCTGCTACCAGCGCCAAAAGTTCATCCCCCCTTTCTGCTTTCATTCTCCCCAAGACACTCTAGGGGCAAAGGGGGCTGGGCACAGCAGGCTGGTTACCAACCACCCCAGGGAAGATGGGGCCTTGTCCCTTGGATGGTGCAGCAGAGTGAGGAGGCCGGCCCAATTTGATGGGAAAAGGGTGTAAGACCATCTCCTCCTCTTGTTCTGTGGGGGAGGGGTGGCCAGTATTTGTCCCAGCCTGGGGCTCCCCCTCTGGTTTCCTATTTGCAGTTACTTGAATAAAAAAAAAAAAAAAAAAAAAAAAAAAAAACCTTTTTTGAAAAAAAAAAAAAAAAAAAAAAAAAAAAAAAAAAAACCTTTTCTGGAAAAAAAAAAGAAAGAAAGAAAGAAGAGTTCTAGAACCTTCAGCTGAACCGCATTCCCCCGCAGCCACACCAGAGAACTCACCTCAGGGAGATCAATGTCTGTGTTCTCATCCAGGTCCCTGCAGTGGCAGAAAGCACACCGTCTCAGTTGTGGACATGCATCCCATGGGACTAGAGCTATGGAGAGGTCCTGGCCTGTCAGAGCCCTCTTATTCAGTACTTTGTTTCTCATGGGGTTGGCAATGCCTCCCTGCACCAACACCCCATCCCCAGTCTTTCAACCCTGCCCAGTGTGCCAGAGAGAAGGAGACTGGCATGATCCTAACTCAAAGACAACTTGCAATCCTGAGCACATGACAACAGGAGAAGCACTTCCTGCCTTCCTGATGCACTCTAAAGAGGGCTCTTGGGGTGATCTTGGCTCCTCGAAATATCCATAAGCTCTGCCTCCATAGGGGACGTACATTATCAGAGACCAGCCACTTGGCCTGCTCAGCATTGTTCCTTCTTGGGTGGGTTCTGAATTGCACAGAAAGGAGAAAGCCCACTGAGCAGCGGCATCCATCTCTCTCTGCTTCTTGATTGCACATGCAATGTGAGCAGCTGCTTTGAGCTCCTGCTCCTGCCCTCCTCCACTAACATGGAAATAATGCACCTAGAATTGTGAGCTTAAAAATTAAACCTTAAATTGCTCTTGCCAGGGCATTTTATCACAGCAATAGGAAACATAATCAAGACACTGTTCCCTCCCTCATCATTCCCTGAACACTCATGGGATTATCCCCCCAGAAAGGCTGAAGGTTAGGGCCCTCCCTGAGATCCACACCAACAGACAGAGCTTGCTATATCCCCTCTGATGAACACACAGTGCTGGCTTGGGCCCTGCATCATAGTGGGAACTTAGGGCTCAACTTTCAGTCTTCTAACAGGATAGTAAGCAAAGGCTTAGGACTGGTGTCACCTGGCTCTGTCCTGTACTGGCCACTCACAGGATATGGTCATCTTGGGCTTATATAGGCATTATGTGGGAATGGATGCTGAGAAACCCATCCTTGACTTGTATCAGCATCCAGAAGAATACTGGAGAAATGTGACGACTTCATTGCTTCTATTTGGCCAAGGAAAAGGACTGTGCTTTGGTCCTCCACTGAGAATCCTAGCCACACTTTGGAACCAGGGGCCCGCCCTCTCATTACACACTGCCAGTCTTGTTCTGCCTTACTATACAGAAGGTAGACAAGAGTGGTGAGCCCACAGCCATCTCTCTTCACATATCTGAGGATGTTGGTTTCTTTTGGAGCTTTATCTGGAATTCTCTAGATCAGTGGTTCTCAACCTTCCTGATGCTGTGACCCTTTAATACAGTTCCTCATATTGTGGTGACCCTCAACCATAAAATTACTTTCCTTGCCACTTTATAACCATAATTTTGCTACTGTTGTGAACTGTAATGTAAATATTGGATATGCAGGATATCTAATATGTGACCACAGTGAAATGGTCATTCAGCCCCTAGGGGTTGTGCCCCATGGGTTGAGAATCATTGTGATGGTATTCCCTAGTTTAGGAAGTGAGTTCTTATATTTCCCCCTATGCCACAAACACAGTCACTAATGGTGAATGACCGCAATGAAAAATGTTAGCAACAGGAGGAACTAATTTGAAAGACTACTTTTAAGACTCCTGAGCACAGCCAGGGCACGAGGTGGCAGTGTGAAATGGTTCACACTCACTGGTGGGTGTTTAGACTGGAGCTGAAAAACTGTGTGATTCTGGAAACTTCCAGTAGTCACTTTCACCATCATGTGCATAAACATACTTAGTATCCTTAAATGAGACCCTTCCCCCATTCTAGAAGTTTCTTGGAAATTGGGGCTGAGAAACAAATGACTATACCCCAAAGGCCTGGTAAGCATGACTCCAGGAGCAAGTGAGTTGTCACTGGTGTCAGGAGAAGGGACCTGTAGCTAGGGGAGTTCTTTGTACCCATCACTTCCTGAGCAGGTGACAGGAGAGGAGGATGCAGATCTAGCTCTGCTAGACAGACGTCTCCCTGGTGGTCCAGAAGTACAGCGCACACTGAGGGAGGGCTCTCCAACCCCCTGCTCCTCACCGAGTAACTGCTCTCTTCTCAGAGAAGATTCTCAGGCAGAAGTCAGCTTCCTGGTGTGGCTCAAAGGTGCTAGGGATGAGGACATAGTCTCCCGGGGGCAGCTGGAAGCGGCCTGAGACTTCTCTCAAGTTGATGAATGTCTTGCTTCGTGCCAGGGAGGCATTGTACCTGAAAAAGTCCCTGCTCAGGTGTCCATCCTTGTCCTGGTCTTTGTCCGGGCACTGCAAGGGGAGGAGAGGTGATCAGGGAGACATGGCTCTGATCTTCATCCTGAGTTGGAGAATTGGCTATCTATCCATCATGGCACAGAGTCCAGAAGCACAGGGGACTCAAAGCCCTTGCAGGGACACTGAGAGCAGCTGGCCCCTACCTGGTAAATGGCATAGCCAATGGTCAGCATGTTGGCACCAAACCTCTTGAGCTTCCTGCGGTCTTTCTGCATCAAGGCTGCTAGAAATGTGCAGCCATCCTGGCCCTCATCCTTCTCAGTTAAGGACAGCTTTATCTGTGGGTTGGTCCAGAAGGTGTCTGCATTTGAAAGGGGGTAGATTACTATCCCTTCCTTAAAAATACAAAATCATAGCTCAGATAACAAGGTGCTTGCTGGGCAGGCACCTGAATTCAATTCCCCAGAACCTATCCTCCCACACACCAAAAACAAAATAAACAACAAACAAAATCTCAGTAGGATGGCTCAGCTGATAAAGGCATCTTCTGTCAAAGCTGATGACCTGAGACCCACAAGATAAAGGGAGAAAGCCAACTCCCAGAAGCTGTCCTCTAACCTCCATGGGTGTACCATGGAATGCACACACACACACACACATACACACACACACACACACACACACACACACACACACACACAACTACATACT